TTTTTAGCAGAGACGGGGTTTTACCACCTTGCCCAAGCTGGTCTTGAACTCCTGAGCTCAAGCAATCTGCCTGCCTCGGCCTCCCAAAGTGGTGGGATTATAGGCATGAGCCACTGCACCCAGCCTCAGTTCTGCCAACTTTAACACATGTATAGATGCATATAACCACTTTTGGAGGCTGAGACAGGAGGATCACTTGACGCCAGGAGTTCAAGACCATCCTAGGCAACACAGGGAGACCCTGTCCCCATGAAACATTTAAAAAAATTAGCCATGTATGGTGGCGTGCACCTGACCGTACCACTGCACTCCAGCCTGGGCGACAGAGGGGAGACTATCTCTAAAAATATGTATTTTTTGGGGGGGGGTGGGGGAGAAGTAGTGATGCTACAAGCATTTTTTCTTTCCTTTCCATTTTTAAAAATTAAAGCATAAAGATAGAGTAAAATAAACTCATCATTTTTAGTATAGGGTTTTTCAAATTTTGACACACACAGAGCTGTGTCTGTATTAGCACAATCAGGAAACAGCCTCTGGCAACCACCAATCCCTTTTCTTCCCTAGATGTGCCTTTTCCAGAATGTCGTATCAAGAGAGCCACAGGTGTGCAGCCTTTTGAGTCTGACTCCACAGCATTCTGCGTGAGATGCTGCATGCGTGAGCGGTTTCTCAGATGTAAAGTATAGGGTATTCTTACAAAATGTTCTTTTTTGCATTTTCAAAGAAAGAGAAGCTCAAAATTTCTACATTGCTCTGAAAGAAGTGGTATCAGTCCTCACTGCTACAAAGTGCAGGGCTATGGAGTGAGACAAGCACAACCTGTGGCGTCAGGAGCGATGGACCTGAACTCCGCCTTCGCCCATGGTCAGCAGCGACTTGGGGTAAGACTCCAGCTCTGCGTGTGCTGCCCTCCCGAGCTGTGGTCAGATCCAGAGACAGAGTGTCTGAAGTAAGCTACCCTTTTAGTACTCTCTGTAATTTTCTAACTACAGATATAAAAGGGGGCATGTTTATAAGTTACGGCAGTCCTAGTTTTTATTTCACTTGAATCCATACAAAAACCACCTGTTCTATAAACACAGCAGAAATGATGCCAAACAGTTAACATGAGAGAAAGGTAATGGGAAGAATGTGGGCCTGGGGTCCCACCATCCTTGCCACACAAACATCCACCGGTGTCCCATCCACCTCACACTGTTCTGAGCACACGAGGCTGGATAACTACCGTGAAGATCTCTGGAGGTGGGAGCGATGCTAATTGTCCCGTTCTTAGTGCACATGAGACTCACACTCCCACACGTGGTATTTCTTCTCCTACACATTATTTGACGCTATCATGAAAAGAAAACCAGCAAGTGAAATCCAATCTGTCCGTAGAGAGTGGGAATCCTGTTCACTGCAAGTCATCCTTTCTCCTCTAATAGAGGCTAGCTGTACTTTGTTTTTAGAATGGCCTAAATTATTTTTCTAAGTACCATGTTACATATTCATTCACACCAACTATTTAAAAAATTTCATTGCAAATAAGTGATTTTTATCAGGCAAGTAATATGTAATGAACTTCCCCTAAAAATAACAACTTCCTAATAGTGCTTTTTCTAAGCAGAACATAATGACTACAAAATAATTAAAAAAAAAAAAAGTAACCCCAAAAATGTCACCTTAACTGTTAAGATCCCCAACCAGCCTCTATCTAGTCTCAACATTACCACCATATAACCTCCGGATTTCTCAGTTTAATCACTTCTAGGGGAAAAAACCCAGACTACCTCTATATGACCACTAAGCAAATTTCCAGTAACAAATCGAGGCTTTGTAACCTGGCTGGGGGTCGTGGCTCATGTCTGTAATCCCAATACTTTGGGAAGCTGAGGCAGAAGGACTGCTTGGGTCTAGGAGTTCAAGACCAGCCTGGGCAATATTGTGAGACCCTGTCTCTACAAGAAAAAAATTTTTTTTTTAATTAGCCAGGTGTGGTGGTGCACATCTGCAGTCCCAGCTACTTGGGACTCTGCAGGTGGAGGTGTTGAGGACTGCTCGAGCCCGGGAGGTTGAGGCGGCTATGACTGTGCCACGGCACTCCAGCCTGGGCTGACCTGTCTCAAAAAAAGTAAAAACGACTGTAACCTCCTGCGCCTTCTCAGACAGTCTGGCTCCTGAAGAAAACACTTACCAGGCCGGCATGACTCTTCGATGCTCAGGGCACATGCCCGACCAAAGACGACCAGGTCCAAGAGCGAGTTTGCCCCGAGCCGGTTGGCACCATGTACCGAGGCACAGGCGGCCTCCCCACAGGCGTACAGCCCGGGCACAATCTGATCCTGGCCATTCACGTGCCTCAGGACCTGTGGAAAGGAAGGTTTCAGGTGAAATGTCAAGGTGCCCATACCTCCACCAGCCCACCTCCCCCAGCAGGGTGTCTGTGCTGCAGACCAGAGAAAGAGAGGGAAGTAGGCCAGGCGCGGTGGCTCACGCCTGTAATCCCAGCACTTTGGGAGGTTGAGGTGGGTGGATCACCTGAGGTCAGGGGTTCGAGATCTGTCTGGCTAACATGGTGAAACCCCGTCTCAACTAAAAATACAAAAATTAGTGAGGCATGACGGCGAGTGCCTATAATCCCAGCTACTCGGGAGGCTGAGGCAGAAGAATCGCTTGAACCTGGAAGGCGGAGGTTGCAGTGAGCCGAGATTGCGCCACTGCACTCCAGCCTAAGCGACAGAGCGAGACTGAATCTCCAAGAAAAAAAGAGGGAAGGAAAGACCATATCTAAGAGGGAGGGAAGGACCATAGCTCCTCTTCTTCAGAGGGAAGCTTCCGAATGTCCCCCCGTTTCCCTCTGCCCCAAGCACCTGCTGTGACCAGTAGATCAGAGGACCCCCAATGTCGGCATCTGCGACTGTCCCCAGGTCCCGCATTCCTGAGGCCCTCACCACCTGTGCTCTGATGCTGTTACAAGTAGGTCAGAGGACCCCCAATGTCAGCATCTGACACTGTCCCCATATCCCACGTTCCTGAGGCCCTCACCACCCGCAGAGGACCCCCAATGTTGGCACCTGCGACTGTTCCTGTGTCCCACGTTCCTGAGGCCCTAACCACCCACAGAGAACCCCCAATGCCAGCATCTGCGACTGTCCCCGTGTCCCACATTCCCGAGGCCCTCACCACCTGCAGAGGACCCCCAATGTTGGTATCTGCAACTGTCCCCGTGTCCCACGTTCCCAAGCCCCTCACCACCTGCAGAGGACTCCCAATGCCGGCATCTGTGACTGTCCCTGTGTCCCATGTTCCCGAGGCCCTCACCACCTGCAGAGGACCCCCAATGCCGGCATCTGCAACTGTCCCCGTGTCCCACGTTCCCGAGGCCCTCACCACCTGCAGATGACCCCCAATGTTGGCATCTGTGACTGTCCCCGTGTCCCATGTTCCCGAGGCCCTCACCACCTGCGCTCCGGCTCAGACCCGGGAGCACGGCAGGTGGAGGAACATCAGCAGGTGACACTGATGTTCCAGACTCTTCTACCCCCCGTTCACCTCTTCATCTACGCAGGGAAAGTAACAGCTGCCGCCCACCTCGCCCAACAAGGAGCCTAAGTGACAGACAAGCTCTGTGTGAACCGCAAACCACTCAAAGGTAGGAATTAGAAAGATCCCTTGATGTACAAGATCATTAGAAATAACACGAGATCATATAGGAAAGTAATTATAAAATGGAAAAAGCTGCAAATGATGTATCTATGACAATTTACTAAGGAGGAATAAATTATTAAGCCCCCTCCATCCTCCAGTAATAGAAATTTAAAGTACAATCTAGAAAACAAGACAGTACTTTCTTGAAGAAAACATCTGTCTTTTCCTCTAAGATCTAAAGAGACAACTGCAAGGTGGGCCCCGTTGTCCCAGCCTTCTATCCAGCTGTGGGAGGGCAACCAGCACCATCACCTGCCCCTTGTAGTTGGTGGGAATGCCGCCCATGTTATAATGCATGGTGGGGAGGACAGGGATCGGCTCCTTCGTGACGTCCACACCGGCGAAGATCATGGCTGTCTCTGAAATGCCGGGCAGGCGCGTGGCCAGCTGCTCCGGAGGCAGGTGGTGCAGCTGCAGGTAGACGTGATCTTTCTCAGGGTCACAGCCTCTGGGAAGACAGAACAAACACCGTCACATAAGGCAGAGAACAGCCTCTGGCGAAGACAAGAACAACACACCATCAATAAGGCAGAGAAACAGCCTCTGGGAAGACAGAACAAACACCAATATACACATAAGGCAGAGAACAGCTCTGGGAAGACAGAACAAACACCATCACATAAGGCAGAGAACAGTCCATCTGGGAAGATGAACAAACCACGTCACATAAGGCAGAGACAGCCTCTGGGAAGACAGACAAACATCATACATATAAGGCAGAGAACAGCCTCTGGGAGGATGAACAAACACCGGATCACATTAAGGCAGAGAACAGCTCTGGGAAGACAGACAAACACCATCACATAAGGCCAGAGAACAGGCTCTGGGAAGACAGAACACCCGTTCACATAGGCAGAGACAGCTCTGGGAAGATCAGAACAAACAACCAATCACTAAGCAGAGAACGCCCTCTGGGAAAAGACAGAACAAACACCATCAATAGGCAGAGAAAACGCCTACTGCCGAGATGAAACAAAACACCATCACATTAAAGGCAGAGAACAGCCACTGGGAAGACAGAACAAACACATCACATAAGACAGAGAACAGCCTCTGGGAAGATGAACCAAACACCTCATCATAAGGCAGAGAACAGCCCTGACTGGAAGACAGAACAAACACCATCACATAAAGCAGATAACGCACTCTGAGAAGAAGACGAACAACAACACACGTCACATTAAGGCAGAGAACAGCTCTCTGGGAAGATGAACAAAACACATATACGGCCAGAGAACATGCCTCTGGGACATGACGAACAAACACCTCACATAGGCAGAAGACAGCCTCTGGGCAAGGACCAGAACAACACCCACGTCACTTAAGGCAGGAAACTGCAACGGGCAGGAGAACCTCGATCGTCATCTTGGAAAGCATTGTGAGTTTCAATGTTTTTGATACTGAGGAAATTTCCCCCTCATTTTCATGGTCGCGGCCCCTCTCATTCAAATCTTTACTTAAGCAATTCTTACTGTGGTGCCAGGGCAATCCAAGGTGGTGGGACACCAGCTGAGACCAGAACAAAAACTCTGCTGCCCTCCCTGTAACTCAACTACTTTTCAATCTCAGGGGATCATCAATCAGCCATAGCTGCGGGCTGTTCCTTGGTTAAGTGCATTATGAAAGGGCTCTATGCCAAACCAATCCGTCCCTTGGCGTATCTGTGGGGCAGGTTGGTCCAAGGACCCCATGTGATACCCAAGATCTGCTAGATGCCTGCAAAAGTCCTTCCTAGATAAAAATGGAAGGAGTATTTTGTATATAACTATGCCAAATCTCCTCTCATACTCACGATCATCCTCATTTAAAGTTTTACATTTTAAGGGCTTTACAACAACTCCAGGATCACCTCCAGTCCCTAATACAATGTAAATGCTTACGGTAAAGTAGCTGTTTAAACTGTGTTGTTTTAGGAACAATGACGAGGGAAAAAAAGTCTGCTATATTCTGTAGGATGCAGATTTTACTTTCCAATACATAGTGGTGAAACGTCAACATGTGGATTGATGTGTTATGGAGGCACCATATTTCTTTTCTTTTTTTTTTTTTTTTTGAGATGGGAGGCTCGGCTTCGATGATCGCCCAGGTGGAAGTGCAGTGGATGGTTGCGATCTCCACTCACTGCAAGCCTGTGACCCTCCCAGTTCACGCCATTCTCTGCCTTCAGCCTCCCGAGTAGCCTGCGGACTTTACAGGCGCCGCACGCGCCGGGCTAATTTTTTGTTTTTTATAGTAGGAGACGGGGTTCACATGTTAGCCATGGATAGTTCTCGATTCTCCTGACCTCGTGATCCGCCCATCTCAGCCTCCCAAAGTGCTGGGATTACAGGCGTGAGCCACCGCGCCCGGCCGGGCCACCATATTTCAAAAAAAAAATTGACTTTTCTTTTTTTTTTTTTAATATAAAAATGTAAAACCTCTAAAGGCCATACCAGCAGATATTACATTAAAGAACAGGGTCAGGAATGAAAGAGCTGCAAACTGTTTTACTGAAAGCCAAGTATCCCACACCCTTTGAAAAGCTGCCGAAAAACACCTGTGGGCATCAGACACGACACCCAAGGCTCACGTGCCGACTTCAGGTTGCGTGTGCGTCTCT